GATTTTGCTCTGTTCTCAGAGCACGTGATGTAGAGCAAAGCCTTAGAATGACTTTTTTTTTTTTTCATCTTAAGAAGGGTCACATCTTTTCTTTGAATATTTTCCCCAAGAATTTCACAGGAGTTTCTTTTGCCATCAGTCCCCAAAAGGGTTTTAGTCTTGGCTTTTCAGTTCAGAGGGAATGGTAACACCCCTTGCCTTTCTTTGGTCACAATTCACTATAGAGTTATCGCCTGCTGTTTTCTTTTGTTTCTCTTCCAGAGTGAAAGAATTGAAAAAGGCCAAGGAACTTGAAGACATACAGCAGCATCCCTTAGCAATGTGACATTGCTTTTCAGACTGTTTTCATTTCTGTTTTTAGCAGAGACATGCAACAACAACACACACGCGCACACACACACACGTACACACACACACAATCCCTCTGCAGTTTTGGAGAGATCAGCTGCAGGATTTTAACAGGAATGTTTTGGTCATTGCATTTGCACTTTCATGGACAACTTTTAATTTGATCAGCAAGACATCTTGGAACTCAATCCTCTGTTGGATCATGGGAAATCAAGACACCAGGAGGAATTGAAAGAGGCTTCCTCTTCTCAGGAAGAAGCCATTTCCTTCTCATATAGGGCTGTATTCAAACATCGTGTGGAACTGTACAAATATTTATACCAAAAATATAGATAAGAAAAGGTGGGGCTATACTCGCAACAAAAAAGAATGCTGTTCCTGCGCCTGCCGGTCATTTCCAAGAAGCTGAATCTTTGAGATTGATTCTCAGTGGAGGGCTTAGATCATACAAAAATCTTTATTGGGTCTGTGTGTTTTCATTTTCTTCACTGTTTACTTTTGTTTGTGTTTGTTTGTTTGTTTGTTTTAATCTCTACAGCACACTTAATGCAACTTTTGAAATCTGCGGGTTAATGTCTTGTGGAAATTTGCAGAGGGGCAGGTGTGTGGTAAACGGGTAATGCATGGGAAATAATGAGAAGCAGCTCACAGAGTTTCAACTTCTTTTCTTGTCCCCACCACCTTCCAAGAACCTGCGAGGGTAGTAGTCATCTTGTCCCCTTTTTCATCTTCAGCACTTTAATTTTTTTGCCTTACTTTCATGTGCAATGAGAATTACTTAAGAAGTGGTAAAGCATGTAGCCTTTTTTAGTAACCTTGGAAACTGTAGTAATTCTAAGGAATCATGAACCTTGCCTGGACATTTGCCACCTAAAAGATCAGTGTGGTGCTGCGTTCTGGCCAGTAAATTCCATGTTTTTGGCTATATCTCATCCAAACTGAGCGGTTTCTGTGTATATATAGAAGGTAGAAATGAAAAGTGAGAAAATATTTGAAAGGGATTATATTAATTGCTAAATATTTTATTCACAAAGGTCAATAACATGGCAAGATAAAATTATTTGTATAGTTTTGTCTGAATGAGCGAGAAAAATGTGGATGTACTGTTTGTATATATTGTATATATTAAAACAAAGAGATATGTGCATGAAATCAAGAAAAAAGAAATGAACAAAAGCAAAGCATTAGTGGCTATGGTCTGTAAAATGAAACAAAAAAAACTTTATTTCACTATAAGAGTACTTTATTTTAAATGTTCTTTAGAAGAACATTTTGCTAAAGCATGACTAAACTGCAAAAAAAAAAAAAAAAGCTACTGTATTTAGACTTAGGAAAAAAGGCAGAGTAACATTACTTAAAAAAAAGGATATGTTTACATTTAATTTTAGCTACCAGGAGTTTATTTTATTTAAAATTTTTTTGCCAATGGTGCCAAGTAATGTGAATGCTAATACTGCTTAAGAAAATTAAGTTACTTTTGCAAAACGGATAATCATAAGATGAATCAGTATGTAGCTTAACACCACCCACTCACTCCAACAAAGAACACTTAGAATGATCAAAAACCTGACAAAAGAAATAGTATGAAAAGTAGAAAAATGTCACGTTTCCATATCTCCTGCTGGAAATCAGAAAACGTATTAAAATTGCACACAAAAATAACTAAAAATGAAAAAGATGCAGACTGGTCTTTAGAGATGGCATGGTATATTACTATTTCCACATAATAAGGAGCCAAAGAAATCTGATGCTTTTAACAACGAAACTAATGTTAAATTGAGAGAATAAAGTTTGCATTTGCTGATGCCAGTTTAAAGTTCCCAGGTTACGTTTGAGGATCAGTTGGTGTAAAGCTGAGATGTTTTCTCTTGGTTCTGGCTGCCAACCGTGAGTTAAAACTCAAGGCTTGTTGTGAAGCCTAAAAATATTCACAAATAAGCTTTTAAACTGGTGTCTTTGGAAGGAAGTTCGAATCAAAAAGATTGTGGTAAAAACTGGGGTCAGTGCTCTTGGTGCCTTTTCTATAATTGTACTTGTTTTTTAATTACTTCCTTTCACTGCCAACCTCGAATTACTGTACAGTATATGTCTTTCTGCTTGTGATCAGCTTTGACAACAGTGACAGCCCCACAACTAGTAGCCACCTGTACATTTGTAAACTGACCTGACTCAATTTTGTTTTTAAATGTGTGGGTTATGTTGCAGCTATTGCAGTCCCCCAGATTCCTATTATTTTACACAATTTGACCTATAGGAGGACACTGAGTAATTTACAAACATAAATGCATTCATAAATGGGAACAGAACGTGAAAGCCAGCTCTTTCAGAATACCCCATATTAATACTGAATTTAGATATCTTTATTCCATTTATTATGGTACAAATAACTGATCTTTTGACCAGAGTAATGACCTCAGTGGATTTGCTTTAACCCTCACATACATATTTTTTTTAATGTTTCACGTTACATTATTAGCTGAATACGTTAGAAAATTACAGATGATAGAGACTTCCATAGAATTAAGAGGGTTCTCATGGAGGGGATAGGAAGTAGGTTTAAAGCCTGCCGATGTAACCTACCAGTACAACTGTGAATCCTAGGTGAGGCAAAAATGCACTTCCACTGAAATGAAGCATTTCTGACCGCTTTTTCTTGGTTATGAATCTTAATTTCGAATATAAGATGATAGGTAAGCGCAGCTTTCTTGGATAATCTGAATTCCCAAGTGCCAGGAGTAGGATTTCATTATAAAATTAATAGCTAATCTTATTCTATCTCCTGAAGATTTAATTGCTATTGTTACCCATTCGAAATCAGCTGTACTGTGTGAACGAAATAAAAGACAATAACTCGAACCCCTCTCTGGCTGCACGGTCGCTTATGGCAGTTCCACACAGTAGTTGGCGCCCAATGGGGGGTCCCTGAGACTTGCATGTAAAACTAGTCTAGATGTCTTCTTTTTTGTAAGTTTTATTTTTGTAATTGTGCATGTAAAGCATCATTGAATCAATGGATCTGTTGAAGAACTCAGCTGCTGGAAACCATGCAAAATGTTTTGAATTGCCCTTAAAATATGGAAAATGTTTTCTGAATGCTTTATATTCTTTCTGCTGTAAATTAAAAATGAAGAAAATTTCCCCATATTACGTGTGTGTTTTGCTTTAATGTGACTGGGTAGTGAAATCTAAGGTGATAGGCACATGTTTCAGAACATACGTAACAATTTCAAATATTTCCTTCTGATCCAGATGTAATGTTTTGACACTGAATGTTACATTGTTTCAGATAGTTCCACGAAAGAAAAAATGTCTTGGAGCCACCATTCCGAGAGCTTTCGCCTCTTTCCAGCACCTCTCAACATAATCATTTGTGTGAGGCAGTGCAGTTATTTGAAAGATAAAGACATTAATTTAATTCACCTTTTCAGTTACAATCCTCTGAAGTCTTCTAAAAGGCATTTTGCAGCAGATTCCGAACGTCCTCCTTCCTGAGTATTCTGTTCCATTCCCTTTCGTTATCTCCCCAGTGGTCCCTCTGCCATCTAATCCATCTGGCCGCTACTGCCAGAGAAATTCTGCATCACGGATCTCCCAAGTCCGCGAGTCAGTGGTTTCCAGGGCCCACTACATTTAAGTGACATTTTTCTTGTTTCTCCTCTTTATTCAGTCTTCTTTTCAGTTGTACCCATCCTGCACCTTCTAGGTGGTCTGTGCACAGTGCGTCCATTTTCACTGCTGTCTTTGTTCATGGTGTTTGTCCATCCCTTACCTGGAAAGTTCGCTTTTCCACTACTCAAATCCCACCGCCTTTGTGACACTCCCGTTTATTCGAATATATATTAACGTTTCCCTTTTCAAAGTATTCTATATAGAGTTGGAAAAGACTGCATAGTACTGTATTTTTTACTTCTCATCCAAGAGACCCCCCGAATGACCTATTAGTGGTTGTTTTTTATGTAGGAAACTGTTGGTAGGAATATTTCAGTAACAAATACATGACAAAGTAACTCACTGCGTTCAGATTTGTGCTTCCCTCCCTTCAACCAAAACCTGAGGACCTATTCTGTGCTAGGGACTGAAAATACAGAAATGAAGAAACTACAGCCCTGACGCCAAGGCTCTCGTAAGCAGGTTATAATATGATCTACAGCGACAAATATTTGTGTTACCGATGAAAACCTGAAGAACGGGGACCTAACCCAACCCCAAGCCTGTGACAAATACCCGAAATGGACTTCTTATTTTAACTACTTTCTTAGAGAAACATGGTGCCCCAGGATCACTAAACTAATCTGGAACGTTCAGCAGCAGCCAATCATCTGTCTCTAACACTGTTAGAGCGAAGTGCTCCCTAGGCCCAGAATAACATGAGATGCCCCCACCCTCAGCCACACAGTCCCTCGCCAGTGCCTAATGCACCACCTTTGCAGATCACGTCCCCACGCGCCAGCGCGGGCTCGGTGCGGAGAGGGAGCTGTATTGATTGACCTGCACTCTGCGTTTCGGAGCCCGAACCGCCCTGGAACCCATGTGGCCCTCAAGTTCCCAGGTAGCTTCGTCCCGGAGGCGCCCTGGACGCGCCCGCCCACTTCCGGCGCGCCCCTCGCGGCCCAGCGAGCCCCGCCCACTCCCGCCGGCCCCGCCCGGTGACGTCTTTGCCTCGCGCCGCGCCGCCCCGCCCATCTCCCTGGCTGCCTCGGATCCCTGCTCCGCTCCTTTCCCGACCCTCGCTCGCCGCCGCCGCCGCCGCCGCCGCCGCCGCCGCCGCCGCCAAAATGTAAGTGACCTTAAGCTACGCGGGCGGCTTCGGGCCCCTCAAGCGGCAGCTCGAGGCTGGGACTGCCGTACTGCCCAGTTACCGCCGGCCGCCGCTTGGACGTAGGCCGGGGCCGCGCTGGGATACCAAGGCCTCGGGGTGGGCGGTGGCCCTGGGTCGCGGGCTGCGGACTGGCTGGGTGCGTCCCGCGGCCAGCGGGCGGACGCGGAAGGGGCGAGGGCGGGGCGGCGAGGCGCTTCCCGGAGGAAGTTAGCTGCCCGCCGCACCCCGCTCCTCGCCCCTTCCCCTTCTAGCCCCCGAGGTCCGTGAGAGGAACCGGGACAACTGGTGTGGTTCGGGACCGCCCGCGCTCAGCCCGGTGCTGCGCTGGGACCCAGAAGTTGCGAAGGAAAGGACCTCGGGCTTGTCCTGAGCCCCTATGGCCCGAGGTGCTCCTGGCCTAGCTAGGGGCATCTACACTGGGAAGATGACTTTACCGTGGGCCTTCGCTCTCAAGCGAAAGCGCTCTTGTGGCCCTTGTAAACCGGTGCATCCAACGGTAACGGTTAGAGAATGCTAATTGTTAAGAATCAGAAGGATCCTCTCTTCCACCTCTGTTTTGCTCATTGCTCACCGTCGGAGGAAGCCCCGGGTTTCTTCCAGGAGCTGGCGACACCCCTCGAATGTTACTGCAAAGGCTGTTGTGCCAGTAGATCACAGTGGTTAAGATCTAGAGCCAGGTCGGGTGTGGTGGCTCATGCTTTTAACCCCAGCACTTTGGAGGCTGAGGGAGGTGGATCACAAGGTCAGGAGTTCGAGACCAGCCTGGCAAACATGGTAAAACCCCGTCTCTACTAAAAGTACAAAAAATTAGCCGGGTGTGGTGGCGTGTGCCTGTAATCCCAGTTACTTGGGAGACTGAGGCAGGAGAATCGCTTGAACTCAAGAGTCTGAGGTTGCAGTGAGCGGAGATCCCACCATAGCGCTCCAGCCTGGGCGACAGAGCAAGACAACGTCTCAAAAAAAAAAAATCTAGATACAAGGTACACAGGACCTTATCTAAAAACAGGCTGTACTACAGCCAGCTGTGTTGACTTTCTAAACCTCACTTTACTCATCTGTAAAATGGGAGTAATACTCCCCTCAAAGAGTTATGAAGGTTAAAGGAGAAAATGCGTGGGAAGAGTCTAGCACCATGGCATGGTCCTTACTTATTATCTAACAGACACGAAACTCTGAGGACAGAGATGGGATCTGTTGTAGCCCTGGTCATTGACACATGATAGATGTAAAGTAACTGTTCAAACAGTCCATCAGACTGTTGTATACCAAGGCACGTGCTAGGTGCTATTTAGGATACAGAGAATGAGAAGACCCAAGAACCTGTGATTTATTCGAGGAGGCAGGACTTTGTACCTGAAAAACCAAAGTGATGCTGTCCAAGTAATGGAGCCAATAATGACTTGAGAGTCAGAGTGGTTAAGAAAGATCTGCCTGGGGAGAAATAAAGCCTTTGATGAAGATTTTTAAAGGTGAGTACCTTCCTGGGCCGGGTGCAGTGGTTCATGCCTGTTGTAATCCCAGTACTTTGGGAGGCTGAGGCAGGTGGATCACTTGAGGTCAGGAGTTCGAGACCGACCAACATGGCAAAACCCCATCCCTACTAAAAATACAAAATTAGCCAGGCATGGTGGCACATGCCTGTAGTCTCAGCTACTTGGGAGACTGAGGCAGGAGAATCGCTTGAATTCAGGAGGCGGAAGTTGCTGTGAGCCAAGATCGCCCAGTTGCACCCCAGCCCGGGCAACAAGAGCAAAACTCCGTCTCAAAAAAAAAAAAAACATAAAAAAAAGAGTACCTTCCTAAAAGAGGAAGCATTGCTTCAACTCACCTTTCCGAAAAAGAAAAAAAAAAAGGACAGTAGAGTTTACCTATCTTGGGATCAGATACTAAAGGGATACAAAGTAGATCCTATTAAACCTTCACTTTTGTCCCTTTAGTAGGTGGGACAGCCTCGGAAATTATAGCGAAATTAGAAGAAATGCCATTAAAATTTGTTCATTGCTTCAGGAAGAATTTCTTTTTCTGCTTTAGTTCTGATGTAAGAGATTGTTAACAGTGAGAGTCCCAGAGTAACACCTTTTTTTTTTTTTTTTTTTTGAGACAGAGTTTTGCTCTTGTTGCCCAGGCTGGAGTGCAATGGCGCAATCTCAGCTCACTGCAACCTCTGCCTCCCAGGTTCAAGCGATTCTCCTGCCTCAGCCTCCCGAGTAGCTGGGATTATAGGCATGTGCCACCACTCCTGGCTAATTTTATCTCTGTTTTTTTTGTTTGTTTGTTTGTTTGTTTTTTCGTAGAGACGGGGTTTCTCCATATTGGTCAGGCTGGTCTCAAACTCCTGACCTCAGGTGATCCACCCGCTTTGGACTCCCAAAGTGCTGGGATTACAGGCGTGAGCCACTTCACCCAGCTAACATGTTTATACTTAAGAAAATATATTTGGAATGGGAATTTACTGATGCCCCTGCCTTTACATGTTCCAGGTCTACAGGTCCAGCTGCTGCCGCTGGCAGTAATCGAAGACTTCAGCAGACGCAAAATCAAGTAGATGAGGTATTGCTCTGACATGTTGGAAACATGAATTTTAAACAAGTATGAGAGCACTCTGGAAATCTGTTTAGAAAAAGTATCATAAAAGTATGAATGTAAAGCAAATTCTGACTGTATCATAATTGTAACAAAATTTTGCTCCCTGCTGTGCTGGAAGATCTGATCTAAGCAAAATTCAGACTGTAGGCTTCATGCTTGATTTCCTGTGATAGAATCACAAACCTGTACATAACATTATCTCAGGAAAAATAAAAAATCATTTACCTAAAGCATGAACACCACTCCCTGAGTATATTCCCCAAGAACCCCTTGATAAAATAGGATAATAAAATGTTAAGGATAAGGGCTGTAGATTGCTCAAGCCAAGACCAGTTTTTCTGATGAGATTTTTTTATGAAAATGCTTTGTCCTGTAGTCTGACTTAATAGTTACCCAGCCTGAGCAAGCCTCTCTGTAAAATTCCTCTCTGACAGTTGTCCATTGACACACAGAAGGTAAAGGCTGTCACTCCATTAGCCCAGCAAATCTCTCTTTGTAGAATTCTTGAGCTAGAGGACGTTCATCTTTTGTTCTGCGCTGTGTGTGGAGAACCACAGCAGAAGATTGAGAAATTCAGTCTAGTATTTCCACATTCCTAAAAGCTGTCACTGTCCGACAAATATATTTCAGTCTTTCTACATTTAGCTGTCCTAAAAAAAAGCAGTTAAAGTTATGTTAGATACTGTTGTTAAATAATAATGTTTTGATCTGATGGTTTTATGAACTTCTAGACATTTTAGATTTTCATAGTAAGAAACCCATTATAATTCTGTCCTGCCTGAAGCTTTTGTTTACTTACAATATCAAGTTGGATTTTTTTTTAACCAAAGGAATTTTAAGGAGAGTTTTTTTTTTTTTTTTTTTTGAGGCAAAATTCCCATAAGGTACAACTAAACATTTTAAAGTGTGTAATTGAGTGTCGTTCAGGATATTCATAATGTTTTGCAATCATTGCCTCTTTCTATTTTCAAAACTTTTCCATCACCCCAGAACACCTTATAGCCATTTAGTAATCATTCGCTATTCCCTCTTCCTCCCTTTCCCTGGTAACCTCTAATCAGCTTTCTATTTCTGTGGATTTGCCTGTTCTGGGCATGTCATATAAAAGGAATCATACAATGTGTGGCCTTTTGCATTTACCTTCTTTCACTTAGCACAATATTTTTCTCATTCATTCGAGTTGTAACGTATGGTACTGTGTTCCTTTTTATGGTTGAGTAATATTCTATTGTGTGTGTATACACAATTTGTTGATCCATTTGTTAATGACTCTTTCAGTTGTTTCCACCTTTCAGCTATTATGAATAATGCTGTTATGAATATTCACAGACAAGATTTTGTTTAGACATATGCTTTCATTTCTCTTTAATATATACCTAAGAGTAGCATTGCCAGGTCCTAGTAACTCTGTTGAGTTTTATGAGGAACTGCCAAATTGTTTTCCACAATGGCCACATCACTTTATTTTCCCACCAGCGATGTCCAAGAGTGCCTGTTTCTCAACATCCTTGCCAACACTTGTCTTCCATTGTTTTGATTATAGCCATCCTACTGAGCTCTTTGGTCTTCATTTGCGTTTCTCTAATGATTAGTGATGTTCAGAATCTTTTCATGTGCTTATTGGCCATTTGCGTGTCTTTGAAGTAATGTCCGTTTAAGCTTTGCCCATTTTTTAATTGGGTTGTTTGTCATTCTGTTTTTGAGTTGAGAGTTTTTTTTATACATTCTGGATATTAAATTTTTCTTTATCAGACATGTGATTTGCAAGTACTTTCTCCCATTCTGTGGGTTGTCTTTTTGCATTCTTCATAATGTTCTTTTTTTTAGTTTTTAATTTTTTTGAGATGGAGCCTTGCTCTGTTGTCCAGGCTGGAGTGCAGTGGTGCGATCTCAGCTCACTGCAGCCTCCGACCCCCAGGTTCAAGTGATTCTCCTGCCTCAGCCTCCAGAGTAACTGGGATTACAGGCGCCCGCCACCTTGCCCAGCTAACTTTTTGTATTTTTAATGGAGACGGTGTTTCACCATGTTTGTCAGGCTGGTCTCGAACTCCTGACCTCAGGTGATGTGCCTGCCTGGGCCTCCCAAAGTGCTGGGAGTACAGGTGTGAGCCTCCACTCACAGCCTGATAATGTTCTTTGATGCACAAAAGTTTTTAATTTTTATGAAGTCCAGTGTATCTCTTTTTCCTTTTGTTGTTCTTGATTTTGGTATCAAATCTAAGAATCCATAGTCAAATCCAAAGTAATGAAGATTTACCCTTATGTTTCCTTCTAAGAGTTTTATGGGTTTAGCTCTTAGATTGTTGATCCATTTTCGTACATAGGGTGAGGTAGGAATTCAACTTCATTCTTTTGCATGTTGGCTCTTCAGTTGGCCCAGCACTGTTTATTGAAAAGACTGTTCTTTCCCCTGTTGGACGGCCTTGGCATTCTTGTACCATAGATCCTTGGGTTGATTTCTGGACTCTTGGTTCTGTTCCATCAGTCTATATGTCCTTATGCCAGTATCACACTGTTTTGATTACCGTAGCTTTGTAAGTTTTGAAATTGGGACGTGACTTTGGGGAGTACTGCTCCCTTAGCAATATTTTTAAGTCTTGTAGTGTGTAAACATAGGATGTCTTCCCATTTAATGGTGTCTCTTAGCAATTTCTCTTAGCAGTGCTTTCTAGTTTTCATTGTCAAGTCATTCACCTTTTGGTTAAATTTATTCCTAGGTATTTATTCTGTTGGATACTATTGTAAACACAATTGTTTCCTCAATTTCCTTTTCAGATTATTTGTTGCTGGTGTATAGAAACACAACTGATTTCTATGTGTTTCTGTTGTACCCTGCAGCGGTGCTGGATTTGTTAGCACTAGCAGTTTGTTGTGGATCCTTTGGTATTTTTTATGTAGAGAGAATCATCTGCAAGTACATATAGGTTTATTCTTCTTTCCCAATTTGGATGCCTTTTCTTTCTCTTAACTAATTACTTTGTTTAGAACTTCCAGCACAGTGTTGAGTAGCAGTATGAAAGTGAACATCCTTGTCTCATTCCTGATCTTAGCGGGGAAGTCTTTCATCACTGAGCATACTAGTTGTAGATTTTTCCATAAACGCCCTTTATCATATTAAGGAAATTCCTTTCTATCCTTAATATGCTGATTGTTTTTATCATGAAAGAGTGGGCCCATTATTTTCAAAGTGAAAGTTTGTCTCCAAGTAACAAAGTGCTGACCTGGAAGAAACAATGTGCCTGTACATTGTCTTTGAAATCTCTGTTCCTCCATTTTTTTTGAGACAGAGTCTCATTCTGTTGCCCAGGCTGAAGTGCAGTGGCGCCATCTCATCTCACTGCAACCTCTGCCTCTTGGGCTCAAGTGATTCTCCTGCCTCAGCCTCCTAAGTAACTGGGTTTACAGGCGCCCACAACCACGCCTGGCTAATTATTTTGTATTTTTAGTACTGAGACAGTGTTTTACCATGTTAACCAGGCTGGTCTCGAACTCCTTTGCACGGGTGATCCACCTGCCTTGGCCTCCCAGAGTGCTGGGATTACAGGTGTGAGCCACCGCGCCTGGCCCCTGTCCTCCGTTCTTTGTGCATTACTTGCTGTGATCACACTCATCTAGGTGGTGGACATAATGCGAGTTAACGTGGACAAGGTTCTGGAAAGAGACCAGAAGCTCTCTGAGTTAGACGACCGTGCAGACGCACTGCAGGCAGGTGCTTCTCAATTTGAAACAAGCGCAGCCAAGTTGAAGAGAAAATACTGGTGGAAGAATTGCAAGGTAATTTTATTTCCAGTCACCTTTACGTTAAGTCCCCCTCTCCATTCTCAGAGAATCAACAGGCTACAGATAATGGCCTCTCATGACTCTGGGAGATGGGTTTGACTTCCTACACATGGAACTATGGGTCCACTGGGAATCTGAAACACTGACTGCATACCCTTTCCTAGCCCCACACTAGGGCTCCTCTACATGCTGTGGCTGATCTTCAGAACATGCACGTAGAACAGGAATATCCAAAATCACTCATGGTCATCAGCCCTTCCCAATCCTCCACCCTAGCAGGGCCCCAGACACAGATAGGAGAGGGCTGGAATTGGTCAGTTTTTGTGTAGTTCTGTGATTGGTTCCAAGGTCAAGGGAAAGAAATGCTTGAAAGCCACAGTGTGCTCAACAAAAGAGTAGAAAGCAGCCCTCCCAGGAGCGTGAGCCAAAGCAGATTTTATACAGTGAGTGAGTCAGTACGCTGTGACCAGATTCAGATATGTGCTGTCCTCTGCCTTGTTTACAAGTGACACTTTCAGACACCGGGCAAGCTGAGTAGCCAGCCCTTCCATATGTGGAAAACTCGTATATACACAAACAAATGCCTAGCTAGAGGCCACAGATCATTTGAACATCTTTTTTAAAAGCAGATAACTTACCTTCAGGCCCTAATCAAGAACATTTAATTTAGGCTTTAAAAATTATGAATTATTCCAGACTGTATGCACCTGAATTTCCCTTTCAGTGACTAGACAAATATTATATGATGCTCTTCAACAAGCACGTTGTCTGTGTTTGAAATGTGATGGGGACATATGTTTTGTTACAGATGTGGGCAATAGGGATTACTGTTCTGGTTATCTTCATCGTCATCATCATCGGTGAGTTACCCTTTTCTAAAGTCATTGGAAAAGTCTTCTCCATGTATTCACAGACCGTTGATTTTGTGTACAAGAACTCAGACTAAAACTTCCCTCTGAAATGTTAGTTTTGGCTAGGTGTGGTGAGTCAGGCCTGTCATCCCAAAGCTTTGGGAGGCCAAGACAAGAGGATCACTTGAGGCCAGGAGTTTGAGTCTAGCCTGGACAACACAGCATCTCTACAAACAATTGTTAATAATTAACCAGGTATAGTAGTGCACACCTGTAAGTCCCAGCTACTCAGGAGGCTGAGGCAGGAGGATTGCTTGAGCCCAGGAATTCGAGGCTGCAGTGAGCCATGATCATGCCACTGCACTCTAGCCTAACAGAGTTTCTCAAAACAAAACAAAAAAAAGGTTCATTTATTCCAAGGTTTTCAGTTTTCTTTAATAAATGTTTTAAGTACTTGAGTTTTATATAAGTCTGAGATTTCTGATATAAACATTAATCCTTTGATGTTCGAGCAAATTTATTCATTTCCACTTCTTTTCTCTGAATATATTTTTAGCATCTATTTCCTTTTATGTAATGTAGTGATTAAAAACATGGACTACCTGTGATCCATCCTGGTTCCACCACCATCCAGCTGTATGGCCGTGGACAAGCAATTTAACATCTCTGGGTTTCAGTTTCTCCGTTTGTAAAATGGGGATAATAGTACCTGCCTTGTTTGTTTATTAGAGGACAGATTTGGTAAATACATAAAAAGTGTTTAGGTTGGTGCCTGGCATAAAATAAAAATAATAGCTATATAAATAAAATATGTATGTATACACATACAAACACACACATATAACTTGAAATAACTCATTGCTGTTGGTAGCCCAATATATGAGAACTGTTTAGAGAAATATGACTTCTTTCATTGATAGGTAGATATTTGTAGGGCTGTAGGGCCCCACAGGGTCGTGGGGTGTCCCTTATGTTGTGCTGAGGTGCAGAACCTGAGAAGTAAAGTTATAGGACGCTGAAGAACTGGTGAAGAGCATCTGGACTCGGGGGGCCACGCAGCCTATGAGCGGAGATGAGTGAGAGCCCCAAATGCCCAGAAGCATCTGTATTTATTAGGTACAAGCAGGGGGCAGGGTTGGGAGTGAGGTCATCATCTATAGGCTTAGTAATAGGGCATAAATAATCACGTGAGTCACAAGTGAGGGGGTCACCCCATTATGTCACTTGGGCAGAGTGGTGGGCCTTGCACAGTAGAGGGCCATGCTGTGTGCAGTAGTACAGGGTCGTGTACAGAAAAGGGGTCCACCCCCATTAGGTCACCAAGGCAAGGAGGTGGGCTGTGTACAACAGGTGTCGTGCATAACACTTCTTATGTGGGGGCTAGAGACTTCAAAGGATTTCTAATAGAAGGATACTATAAGCCAATGCAGTGGGAGCTGACAGACTTGTGCTCTTAAGATATTTATGGGAGGGTGATTTGAGCTAGCACAGAAGCGAGAAAAGACTGACAGGGTATACAGCTGCAGTGACTGGTCACACCAGAGGGCTTCTTCTCCCTCGGTTATTTCCAGGATCTCAGGCCTGAGGCCTATTTTCCACGGGAACTGGATGCAAGGTACTACAACTCCTTGCTCCAAGCCTGCTGTACAGCGTATACCCTTTCAGGCAGGGATGCCACCGCCTGGGTCTTTGGTTCTTGTCCTGGTCTGGCTGTTTTCCCATGTACTGCTTCTGTTCTGTGACTGCTCCGGGCATTCCTCCTACTGCAAACTACTATATGATTATATGGAAGGATTCTATAAATCAGCACTAAATGTGTTAGTACAGCTCCGACTACAATACCTATACGATTATATAGAAAGATTATATAGAACTAAGTATGCTAGATATAAGTATTAAGTACGATTATATAAGCTAGATATACGTAAGCAGTAAGTTATACTTTAGGCACTAATTCTATAAACTAATATATGATTATATATAAAGGATTATATAAAGGAAATAGCTGAGTAATAACACTGAACTAAAATATTCTTCAGGTACTAATTGTGCCTGGGGTCTGGACAGTTCTCCCTCCTCAGTGCCCATGGGGGTGTTACCCACAGATGTTAGTGGATGTTTCATTTTAGCAGGAAGGTACAGTTATTTGGATCCTTCTGATTCTAGTCTCCTTCCTCTGGCCCTCTATAGAATGGAGAGAAGCCAGTAGTAGGAAATCAGCGCAGTCTAATTTCTGATCACATTTCGACTGCAGCATTGGATGTTCACTTGGGATTCGCATTGAGAGACTAACCTGCTGTTCCCCCTGCTTTTTTATGTCTCTCCTGCCTCGTAGTGTGGGTTGTCTCTTCATGAAGAAGCAGTGGAACTCTAACCTGCTGTTCAAGAAACCTCTTCAAGACTTTTGACTTAGAACCTACTATATTATCAAGCTTACCTACTGCTATCTCTAAAGTGATTATTTTGTGTTAATGTAAAGTTGAATTTTTAGGAAATGTGCCTTTGTTTTTTTTAATACTATGCACTCCAAATTAGAAGCAAGGCCAGCCCCGTCCACGTTTTGCACAGTGTCTTTACCGATTTACATATGGGCTGATGAAGAGGCCTTCTGAAGTTCCAGAGTGCTATCATCTAGATGTAATGTTGTCACCGATTAATTGCCATTGCTCCCAGTTACTTAGCCTTGTCATTCAGCATTATTTTTAGAACTACATTTTAAACCTTTGGGTAATCGATTTCCAACTTGTGCCTTCCAGAAAAAAACACTACTGCCTACCACAAATCTGTGATAACAACAGTCTGTGCCTTATTTTGATAAGTTTCTGATTCCCTGTAAGAGAACCCTCTACTTTTTGTAAGCACTACTGACTCTCGCTGTATTTAAGATAAGATGCTGGTGAAGAGCTTTTGCTCTTGCATTAGATTTGAAGATGTTTACGTTCTTGTTACTGTTATGTATCACTTGCTAAAAATATTGTTTTAATCAGAAATAACCTCTTTAAAAATTTTTATAGAACTATGGCTTTGACCAAAGTTTCTATTTTACCAAAAAGTTAAATACCGATAAAATGGCCTTAAGTCTGTTCCTGACAGTTTAATTAAGAAATGTGCCAAATGGAACTTAAGGTGCCCCTTCAGAATTAAAATCGTAACCTTGTGTGTGAACCTTCCACATCTTGACAGGGTTTTCTTCCTTTTGAAATGCTGTAGACAGTGTGGCTCCCCTTCTGATTCAGTATTTTGCAGGGGGGGTTAGAGAAGCCTTGAGGTAGACTCTGACCATCTCATTCCTATAGACAAAAGAGTTTAACCCAGCAGTTGGCAGATTATCAGCTGTGGACTCCAACATGTTTCTAATAATTATACGACCAACAATTCTGTAGCCTTCAAGTAAGACCACCTGTGAACTTGATCATTACCTGGCCCAGATAGGACGATAAACTGTAGCTTTTTGGAGTTTCCTATTTTTATTCACATTCTGCTTCCTAAATCAGTCTTCTAAATGATGCTTGCAATTAGGCATTGGTCAGGGGTGGATGGCTCTTCACAGAGAGCAGCCAACCAGAGACCTTGCTTTGATATCAACAACTGCAGAGGATGCTGCTGTGAAAGGAACTGTTGTCATCAGAGAAACTTTGTCATCAGAGAGACTTTTCGTGTATGCATGAGACTTTCAACATCTGGATACACAGCTTAAAGATGGAATTCAAGTATGAAAGAAAACAGGCAAGGAGGCACTGAGGGAGAAGGACACAGACTTGAACGCTCTGTGGCTCGTTACTAGAATATTCTAAAATTATTGTTCACATGCTATTATGACTTACAAAGCAGGAATAGCTGAGGTGCACCAGGACACGGGTTTCATTTCTTTACTGTCTATTCCCTTAACATCACTGAGTGATTTGTTGTTGAAGACAGCCTTGCAGTATGGCCAGCTGTGAGGACAAAGCAGCTGTTTGTGTTAGGACATAGCCCCCCGCCCCCCAAGCACAGGGTCTCTGGCCCTGTCTGACTCTGAAACCTTGGTGCTCACTCCTTGGCTACAGTGCTCAGTCCCATGTAACCCACTGGCTCCTGCATTAACCCAGAAATACCTCGCTTGTATCTGTGCACTTAGCTGGGAACTTACCCACTGTCATGACCTGAATAAAGTATTTATAAACATGGTTGTGGCACCTGTGTTCCTTATAGAGGAATAGCTGCGCCTGGTCCAGATCCTAAAAATGGCATTCCTTGCTGCTCTCCATACCTGTCCCTTACAAACCCTGAAACTGTCTCTCCTCTTTTCCCACCAGCCCCTCTATAGGTACTCTACCCTCCAGCACCCAGCATTTCCCCATGCCCGAGTGAACAGAAGCAAACCACTCCCCTCGTGAAAAGTGCTTTCTAGTGTAGGAGATGTGGGGAAAACTGGCTTTTATACAATTACCAAAATACAGGATTTGGCTTTGGAGAGCTGGCCCTGGATGTGGTAGACTGGATGGCTGCTGACACGGCCATGGGGGAGAGAAGTCTGGACGGACAACGGACATCCCCAGATACATGTTTTCATTCTGTAGACTCTTCTTTCCCCATGAATGTATTTCCATTCTTATTCTACAACTCCCAGGAAACAATATCGTATGGGTGGAAGTAGACTTTTGCTTATGTTTACAAAAGTCCCAAGTCCCTTTCCCTAATTACAAGTCCCACTATGATCTGGCCCTTTAGCTTTCTGACTTCATCCCATACGACTCTCCTGCTCTCTCTCCTCCAAGTAAGGTACTCTTTTTTGGGTGGGAGACCCTGCAAATGCTGAGGCAAGGGTCTGAAGCCTCAGCCTGTTCCCATATAAATAATGAAATAGAAAAGAATTAGAAATACAATCACACAGTCATTCATAAGCAATCATAAAGATACCTAGATATATATATACCAAGTATGACCTTTTAATTTTGCTAATGTTTCTCGGGTTGTGAAGTGTGAATAAGGTGACATTGTGAAAGAAGTCACCCTAAGGCAAGATGCTCTCTGTCACGTCAGTCTAAGGGCTGATGGAGGGCATCTTGGCTATGCTGCAGCGCCAGCGCTGGGAAAGCGCCCGCTGATTAGCAAGCTACGGAAGATGTCTGAGATGTCTCCTTCCTTGGAGGAGTTAGGAGAAAACTTCGCTCCCACAGGCGCCTGTGGCAGGCCTGACGGCTGTCAGGGACACATACCAACATCCAGGGGCTTAATTATTTTCTCTGTGTGATGCTGTGCTCCGGCAGTCACGTTCCATGTCTACTTTTGTGTTCCGCTTCTCCACCTGGTTCCTTTTTTAGGAGATAGAATCAGTAAAAGTAACATAAATCTTAATGTCTGTGTTCCTTCTTGACAAGTCTGGAAAAAGTGCTGACGCATTTTTCCCTTGCCCTTGCTTCTTCCCTTGCCTGGGCTACTTGAAAGTGTCTCTAAGACACGTGATTTACTTGACCCTATCACTGACCACCAATGACTTGCCCTACCTACCCTGCCCCCTGCTTTATACTCAATAAAAGTCAGCACGTCCAAGCACTCGAGGCCACTGCTGGACTCCACGCTTTGGTTGGCAGTGAACCCCTGGGCCCAAACTCTCTTTGTCTTGATCTCGGCGTCTTGTGTCTTTATTTCCAGTAGAGAGGGGTTCTACTGTAGGGCTGGACCCTACAGTCTGCCAAAGTATAGCTGTTAACAGTGGAGAGGTGTGTGCATGGGACTTTCAATGTTAGGGTGTGGCTTGCAGGCCAGAGTTAAGCTATGAATGAAAAAGGAAGCACTGAAGGAGAAACAGACCCGAATAAAGTTTGTTTCAGTTTCTCAACAGCAAACTTACTTCTTTCCAAAGGTCCTTTGCAGGTACTTTCCACTCTGCAGGGCCCACTTCCCCATCCATCATGGCAGGTGCTGCTCATCTTGGGTTTAACTCCGCCTTCCCAGAGGCCTGCCCGGCTGATCTGAGGCGGCTATGGCCGCCTTCCTTCACCTCTGTCCCAGTTACTCTTCATCCCAGTAGCTTGTTTTCTACACATCGCTTTAGGCTTTATGAACTTATTTATGGGATTGCTTGTATGTGTTTCTCAATAAAATGTTGACTCCCTGGGTGGCAGGGAGTGGTGGTGGTCTACTGTTCTAGCCCCTGGGATTCCAAGTGTCACTACCCCGATTTGCACGCAATAAATACTTGCTGAAGGAATGCAGTTTGACAAAACTCAGCTTCCGAGGACACCCAGACTATCGCTTGTAAGAATAAGGTGGTTTATTCAGTACCTAACATAAGCACTCGCCCACTTCACTTTTCCCCTCTTCCTTTACATACAATTTCATTCATCCAACAAATACTGAATATTTTTTCTGTACCAGGCAGCACAGAGAGGGGCGGCACTCAGCACTATACCTTTCATTTCTAAGGTGTTGAGAAAGACAATCTAAACTGAGCTTTCTGACTTTTTTTTTTTTAAGGGCACTACACCTTCCTCCTCTGAAACAGTGGCTTTTACATTTGTCTTCCCATAGTTGCCAAATGAATCTGTAATTTTAGGAATTCCAGGGAAGTGTTTTAATTTTCACCGTCAAAATTCTGTTTCTGGGCGGGTGCAGTGGCTCACACCAGTAATCCCAACACTTCGGGAGACCGAGGCCAGCAGAACACTGGAGCTCAGGAGTTTGAGACCAGCCTGGCCAACATAGACCATTTTTACCAAAAACATAACAATTAGCCAGGTGCGGTGGCTGCGCCTGCAGTTCAGCTACTCGGGAGGCTGAAGCAGGAGAACGCCTGGAGTCCAGAAGACAGGTTGCAGTGAGCCGAGATGGCACCACTGCACTCCACCCTAGGCGACAGAGCAAGACCCTGTCTCAAAAAAAAAAGTTTCTAAATATCGGATGGGTTTTTTGCCAGGGCTGCTATACGGCCCGGTTCCTCCAAGTCCACCCCACTCACCTCAAGAGTTAGCAGAGAACGAGGGCGGTTGGGGTGGGTTTGGTAGGTCAGAGGCGGTGAAAACCGTGGAAAGCCTAGAAGACACCCAAAGCACGTTGAGAGGTACGCTGTCTGCAGCCGGCCCCACCCAGGGCTCCCCCCCACACCCGCTCAGGCAGCCCGGAGCCACCCGCGGACTCCAGGACCCAACCCCACCCAGAGAGCTGGCCCGGGCCGCCCCAGGTCGCCCCGGCACGCCCCCAGTCCCCGCCACGCCCCCAGTCCGTGGACTCCAGAACCCAACCGCACCCAGAGAGCTGGCCCGGGCGGCCCCAGGTCGCCCCGGCACGCCCCCAGTCCGTGGACTCCAGAACCCAACCCCACCCAGAGAGCTGGCCCGGGCCGCCCTAGGTCGCCCCGGCACGCCCCCAGTCCCCGCCACGCCCCCAGTCCGCGCCCCCCCTTCTTTCTCTCTCTCTCTCTCCTTTCTCTCTCTCTCTCTCCTTTCTCTCTCTCTCTCTCCCCCCCCACTCTGGCCCCGCCCTCGACACCCCCGCCCCCGCCTCTCGCCCTCATCCCTCTCCCCTTCCAGCCCCCCGCCCCCGCCTCTCGGCCCCCTACTCCTATCACCCACGTCCCCCTCCTGCCCCCGCCTCCGGCCCCATCCGTCCCCCCAACTCCAGCCTCCCCATGACCCCGACTCAAGCCCACAGCCCCCGCCTCTCACTCCCCGCCCCCTTGCACCCCCGCCTCTCACTTCCCTCCCTTACCCGCCCCCCTCTCACGTGGAGGTTGGGCCGGGCCCGCCCCGCCCCACAGACTCCCCCAGGTCCCGCCCCACAGACCCCTTCCCCGCCAGGTCCCGCCCCCGCGTGGCTGGCAGCTCCCTGACCCTATCATTTCTGCTCTGGCTTCAGCGGCTCCGCCCCGGCGGCGTGGCATAGGGGCTGGACACTCCAGTCGCGCGGCCCGGGCCTAAGGCCGCTCAGGGCCACCCCGCCTCCTGCCCGCGTACCGCCTGCCGGATTGGCCGAGCGCCGGCCTCCGCCAGACCTCCAGCGTTATGTAACGCGCCCCAGAGGACCCCGCCCCCTCGCCCTGGCTTATATAACCCGGGCGCACCGGGTCGCGCCCCGCCCCAGGGCCAATGGGGGCCCGCGGAACCGGCCCCGACAGCCAATCGCGCGGCTCGGGGGCGGGGCCAGTCACGCGGCGGCAGGGGACGCGGTGCCGGCTGCTTCCCGGCACGCGGCGGGCCTCGAGACTGCACGCGCGGGTGGCCGGCTTGGGGGGGCGAGCGGCTTGCGCGTGGGGCAGCGGGCGAGCGAAGCCGGTGAGTGCGCGGTCGGGCGGGAATTCTCGGGACCCGAGCGCGGCCCAGGAGCCCCGAGAGCCCGGCCCTCGGCTCTGGGGTCCCCGGAGCGTTGCGCTTCCGAGCCGCCCGCCTCTCCGGGCCCGCCTCTCTGCTCGCGGGAAAGTTGGGGCAGGGGTGAGGACCTTGCGGTTGGAGCGCTCCAGCCAGCGGGGCCGCTGGCGTGGGACCGTCAGTTCCACTTGGCCCTTGTCACCCTTGTCTCCTCCCCCCAGGCCGGACTTCCGAAAGTGGAGCGAGCTCCGGGTTTTGGAGATGCTGGAGGGAGAAGCTCCTCCGAGATGAGCGTGGCCCCCTGGCTCGTAGTAGCCGCCCGGTTTCTCTAACGCCATGGCGCGGACTGGAGTGAGAAACCGCTGTCTGTCGCTGGCTGCAAAGTGAGCGGGAAGCAGGCAGCGGGCCGTCCCAGGACGACATGGAGCCCTGCGGAGACCTCGAGACGCCCCTCGGGGAACCTCCTGGCCCCGGGGGACGGGCAGCTGAGGACGAGGCCCTGGGCGAAGACTTTGGGGAGCGGTGGAGCCCCGAGTTCCATCTGCAGAGAAAATTGGCGGACCCCAGCCACAGGTGACGCGCTGGCTTCAGGCTCAGGGCCCCATGCGTTAGTTGTCCTTTCCCAGAGTGGGGAAAGGGGGACGTAAATCTTTTTATTCTTTTAAGCCCCGGTGAAAGTGTAGGGGGAGACTCAGGCACCGTAGGATGAAGTGATCTGGGACACTGAAGAAAATTACCAAAGAGCACCAGGAGGGAAAAGTGGTTACAGAAGTTAGCTGACTTGGGGCTCAGGTGGATTAAGGGAAAGTAAGTGGAGACTGTGTGGTATTTACCAGTTGTTTGCCTGAGTTCCCTATCTGGAGGAAAAGGGGCATCACCCTGTGGACTGAATGAACTGGTGCGGTAGAGCACTTAGAAACTTACCTGGGTTGCAGTTTGTGTTCCATAAACTGCAAGATGCTGTTACCATCACAGGTGTGAAATTGTCAGTTTTTTTTTTTTAATCTTCCAGTGAACAGCAAGATCGAAACAGAGTTTCGGAAGAACTTATCATGGTTGTCCAAGAAATGAAAAAATACTTCCCCTCTGAGAGACGCAATAAACCAAGCACTCTAGATGCCCTCAACTATGCCCTCCGCTGTGTCCACAGCGTGCAAGGTAAACAGGCGAGAAAAATTCAGTTCTACAAGTGCACTGGGACTCTCACAGCAGCCAGAGGAGTGGTCAGGGGGCTCTTAGTCATGCAGATACTTTGAACTTTTTCTGGTGCTTTATGGAAAATGAGCAGATCTACACCGATTGCATTCATGTCTTAATTTTTCACATCTGAAAGACCAGGAAAACTTTATCTGTATAATAGTTTATAGTAACTTTGCAGCGTTTTGCCGATCTGTTGCAAGAGAGTAGAGTTTTAGCATAAGCACATTCTGAAGGCTAACCTTTTAAAGGAACATTGTCTTTTATGGAAGTTACGGGGAAAAAATGCATTCCACTAAATAGTTACCTTTGCATACCTTACACATATTTTTTAAATGCAGTAATGATATATGAGGAATTTACCAAACTAAAAATGAACCATTGTAAAGACTTTTCTTTTTCTGCCTGACATTTCAAGGGATTCCATTAAAGCCATATTCTCTTTAGCACAAACCTCTGTGCTTCATATATGATATGTTCCTGAATGATGGAGTACTGTTTCTGCTCCCCCCGAAAAAATTGCATATGCATCTGAAATTTTTAGTTAGCACCTTGAATGTATCTTGCTCCTTGTGATCCAGAACATGCAGAATTCATAAAATCAAAATCTTAAGTTTGCACAACCATCAGTATGTATTTTAAGTAAAAGCAGAAAATGCTCTGTTTTCGAGAAAAATGCACCAAGGTGTTCTCATCTGAAAAAAATAATCCAGCTTGATAGAAATAAAATGGTTTCCTAAAGATACTGTTGTCACTGGACTACCTGTTTATCTCCCTGTGTTTCTTAGCAAACAGTGAGTTTTTCCAGATTCTCAGTCAAAATGGAGCACCTCAGGCAGATGTGACCATGTACAGTCTTGAGGAGCTGGCCACTATTGCTTCAGAACACACTTCCAAAAACACAGTAAGAATTCATGCATTTTGCCATATCAACCTGGGTGATTTTTCCTAAGGACCTGCTCTAGATGTCAGTTTTTAAGGAGAGTAACAACGTTTCAGCAACCACAATTTGAGGGAAGCAAAGGAGGAACTGCCAAAGAGGCATGGTGTAGCTTCTCTACCCTTGCCAGAGAAAACATCGAAAAACAGAAGCAGCCCATTAAGTGTGCTGTGCAGTTCAGTGACTTTGGTTATGAGGTGCTTCTAGCTCCTTAGCATTCCCAGGCTCTCTCAAATTAAGAGAAAAACAAAAAAGTACACTGCAGAGTAATTTCCTGCATCTTATTCTAATCTCCGAATTGTTAATTTCTATTTATATCATTCTTAGTTCCAATACCTACTACTTCAAGTTGTAACAACTGGAAGTTATAGAACAGGTGAGTTGAGATACTGTCATTTTTCATAAAATTTTGGAAGAGACCTTTAGTATATATATACACATATATTTTCTCTCTCTTCTTGTTTGACAGAGTAATTGAGCCTCATGTTTGGTTGATACGGTGGAGGTTACTTATTTTTATGTACAGACATCAACATAATTGTAACTTAAAGATTTTGTAACAGTGGAACATGAGCCATCCCTACTATTATAACAGTGCTTATTTTAAGGACTGGTGTGTGCATAGTACTGTAGTAGGTACTATGGAGATTTTAAAAAACAGCTTAAGAAAGTATTTGTCTTTTAAGATCTTTAACATAAAGCTAGAGAGGAAAGCATGCCAGCGCTAGCAAACATAAACAATGGCTGATTATAAGTAAGTTTCATTTACATCTAATGGAAGAAATTAGAGCAGAGATGCTTACGCAATGAGGTTTGTCAAGGACAGCTTCCTGAAGAAGGTGAATCTTCAGCATGTCTTAAAGCATAGAATCTGTACTGATGACGAGAACACCATCCACCCAGGTGTAAGGCACAGTTTGCAGAGGAGAAGGAATCAAGTTTATGTGCCATAGGTATATTTAGTCTGCATAGAATGAGTTAATATATTTTTTGGCATAGAAATTGAACCTTCAGCAGGTGAAGTGTAGGTTTTATGAGAATATTTAAGAAGGATGTTGGAGAAAAGTATTTGAGGAGTTTTGTTGCCTTCATAGGTTGTACCTATGTAGTTTAAGATATTGATCATGGTAGAGATCTAGAAGAAATTTACCTTACAGGGACTATTGCTATGAGTATCTCAATATTTGCATTTATTTTAAATGTTTTTCATAGGATACCTTTGTGGCAGTATTTTCCTTTCTGTCTGGAAGGTTAGTGCACGTTTCTGAACAGGCTGCTTTAATCCTGAATCGTAAGAAAGACGTCCTGGCAACTTCTCGCTTTGTCGACCTGCTTGCCCCTCAAGATGTGAGGGTGTTCTATGCACACACTGCCAGAGCTCAGCTTCCCTTCTGGAACGACTGGACCCAAAGAGGTAACAGGACCAATGTTCAGATGTTTATCTTGCTTCATCCAGATCAGTTTCGTTCTTAACAGGAATAGTACAGAAACTAATGCGTTATTTAGAGCATGCAAACTGTTTTTTCCTATTCTTGTTGTAGAAAGTCTTCATGTGATTAAAACAGCATTTTAAAAGCTTCTGGTAACATAAAGACAATACATTTGTTTCCATTTTGTCACGTCTGTTTCATAGATTATATGTCATAACTATTTCACTACCAGCATACCGTATAGTGCTTTAGTTGCTATGAAGGCTGTTTCCTTTAAGTTAAAATTAAATGTTTTTCCTCCTATATTTCTTTATGATTTCCTTGTATGAGAGATTTTACTTTGGAGATAAAATTTGAATCATTAGGCTGGGCGTGGTGGCTCACACCTGTAATCCTAGCACTTTGGGAGGCCAAGGGCAGGAGGATCACCTGAGGTCAGGAATTCCAGATCAGCCTGGCCGTGGTGAAACCCATCTCTACTAAAAAGTACAAAAATTCTGGGCATGGTAGCACATGCCTGTAATCCCAGCCACTGGGGAAGCTGAGACACAAGAATTGCTTGAACCTAGGAGGGAGAGGTTGCATTGAGCCAAGATCACACCATTGCACTCCAGCCTGGGCAACAAGAGTGAAACTCTGTTTAAAAAAAAAAAAAAATTAGGATCAGTAGCTCTCTTCCAGTTTTTCTTGCCCCTAAAAGTTCATTAGTATCATTACTTTATTTTCCTTCTGGGATGCTTTTTTACCTAAATCAAAGATGCCTATTGTAGTTTTCTTTGTGACATTCAGTCCTGTGTGATCTTAATTTATTTCTTTTTAGTCATGCTTTATTATTTTGTGTTCTTTGTAAAGTATCTCCTAAAGATAGATAGATAGATAGATAGATAGATAGATAGATAGATAGATATCAGCTTTCTCTTTAATTCCAAGCCCTTCTCTCTAACTAAAAAGTAATTTATTATGGTAAAAAACATACAATTTACCATCTGATAGAGTTTGACTATGTCCCCACCCAAATCTCATGTTGAATTGTAACTCCCACCATTCCCATGTGTCATGGGAGGAACCCCGTGGGAGGTAATTGAATCATGGGAGCAAGTCCTTCCCATGCTGTTCTCGTGACAGTGGATAAGTCTCACAAGATCTGATGACTTTAAAAACGAGAGTTTCCCTGCACAAGCTGTCTCTCTTTGCCTGCTGCCATCCATGTAAGATGTGACTAGCCCCACCTTGCCTTCTGCCATGATTGTGAGGCCTCCCCAGCCACACGGAACTGTAAGTCCATTAAACCTCTTTCTTTTATAAATTGCCCTGTCTGGGATATGTCTTTATCAGCAGCATGGAAACGGACCTAATACACCATCTTAATCATTTTTAGGCTTCACTCCATTGCTGTGAATGATGGTTACAATGTTGTGAAACAGATCTCCAAAACTTTTTCATCTTGATATATGAAACTCTCTGTATATACTATTTCTAATTTTTTATCCAGTACATAATGTAATGAAGAATAGCTTTGCATGCTTCTTCCAATTATAATTGCCCCATCTTTTAAAAATATTTTTACATAAGCTTGAGAAAACATGCATGTCATCCCTGCTTGCTTCTAGCTCCTCATCTCTCCTGTTTCCATCTTTCAAAAATATTGATTTTATTTCTCTTTCCCTTTCCTAAATACATATGCTGAGATACAGCTGTGAACAGGACATCCACAATATTGTCTGCCAGGTCTTTCACATTTTTTCCCCAGGTATTTTTCCATTAGCACTGACTGTCTTTTCAGACTTTTCATTTTTGCTAATTACTTATTTCTGGGATATTTCCCTTTTGTATTAGTCTGTTCTCACACTGCTGTAAAGAACCACCTGAGACTGGGTAATTCATAAAGGAAAGAGGTTTAATTGATTCACAGTTCCACATGGCTGGGAAGGCCTCAGGAGATTTACAATCATGACAGAAGGGAAAGCAAACATGTCCTTCCATGCATGGTGTCAGGAAGGAGAAGAATGGGAGCCAAGTGAAGGGGAAGCCCCTTATAAAACCATCAGATCTCATGAGAACTTACTATCATGAAAATAGCATGGAGGAAGCTGCCTCCATGATTCAGTTACCTCCCACCGGGCTCCTCCTACCATGCATGGGGATTATGGGAGCTACAACTGAAGATGAGATTTGGGTCAGGACACAGCCAAACCATATCATTCTGCTCCTGGCCCCTTCCAAATCTCATGTCCTCACATTTCAAAACAGGACCATTCCTTTCCAACAGTCCCCCAGAGTCTTAGCTCATTCCAGCATTAGCCCAAAAGTCCAAATCCAAAGTCTCATCTGTGACAAGGCAAGTCCCCTTTACCTATAAACCTGTAAAATCCAAAGCAAATTAGTTACTTCCTAGATACAATGGAGGTACGGGCATTAATAAAACCCATTCCAAATGGGAGAAATTGTCCAAAACAAAGGGGCTAAAGGCCCTATGCAAACCTGAAATCCACTGAGGCAGTAATTAAATCTTAAGGCTCCAGAATAATCTCCTTTGATTCCATGTCTCACATCCAGGTAATGCTGGTACAAGAAATGGACTCCAACAGCCTTGGCAGTTCTGCCCCTGTGGCTTTGCAGGGTACAGCCCCCCTTATGGGTGGTTTCATGAGCTGGCATTGTCTGGCTTTTCCAGGCACACAGTGCAAGCTGTCAGTGGATCTACCATTCTTGGGTCTGGAGAATGATGGCCCTCTTCTCACAGCTCCACTGGGCACTACCCCAGTGGAGACTGTGGGGACTCCAACCCCAGATTTCTATTACACGTGCCCAAGCAGTGGCACTCTATGAGGGCTCTGCCCCATAGCAAACTTCTGCCTGGACATCCAAGAATTTCCTTATATCCTCTGAAATCTAGGCAGAGGTTTCCAAACCTCAATTCTGGTCTTCTGCATACCTGCAGGACCAACACCATGTGGAAGCTGCCAAGGAATAGGGCTTGCATCCTCTGAAGCTATGGCCTGAGCTGTACCTTGGCCCATTTTAGCCGTGGTTGGAGCTGAAGCAGCTGCAATACAGGGGACCATGTCCCAAGGCTGCACAGAGCAGTGGGGCCCTGGACCAGGCCCAGAAAACCTTTTTTCCCTCCTAGGCCTCAGCCTGCGATGGAGGGGCTGCTGTGAAGTCTCTGGCATGCCTTGGTGACATTTTCCCCATTGTCTTGGTGATTAACATTTGGCTTCTTGTTACTTTTATAAATTTCTGCAGCAGGCATGAATTTCTCCCCAGAAAATGGGTTTTTCTTTTCTGTTGCATCTTCAGGCTACAATTTTTCCAAATTCTTATTCTCCGCTTCCTCTTGAATGCTTTGCTGTTTAGAAATTTCTTCCGCCAGATACCCTAAATCCTCTCTCTCAAGTTCAAAGTTCCACAGATCTCTAGGGCAGGGGCAGAATGCCGCCAGTCTTTTTGCATAGCAAAAGTCACCTCTACTCCAGTCCCAACAGGTTCCTTATCTCCATCTCAGACCACCACAGCCTGGATGTCATTGTCCATATCTGTATCAGCATTTTGGTCAAAGCCATTCAATAAGTCTCTAGGAAGTTCAAGATTTTCCCACATTTTCCTATTTACTTTTGAGCCCTCCAAACTGTTCCAGCCTCTGCCTGTTACCCAGTTCCAAAGTCACTTCTACATTTTCAAGTATCCTTGTAGCAGCACCCCACTCTTTGCAGTACAGGTTTATTGTATTAGTCCATTCTCATGCTGCTAATAAAGACATACCCAAGACTGGGTAGTTTATCAAGGAAAGAGGTTTAATTAACTCACAGTTAAGCATGGCTGGGGAGGCCTCAGGATACTTAGAATTGTAGCAAAATGGGAAGCAAACATGTCCTTCATATGGTGGCAGCAGGAGAAGTGCCAAGCAATAAAACCATCGGCTCTCATGAGAACTCACTATCACCAGAACAGGAAGAGGGCAACCACCCCCATCATTCAGTTACCTCCCACTAGGTCCCTCCCTTGACACGTGGGGATTGTGGGAACTACAATTCAAGATGAGATTTGGGTAGGGATACAGCCTCACCATATCACCTTTCATGTAAAATCTTAATATGCCCTGAAATTATTCTTTTGGATCTCAAAATTCACTTATGCCATAAAGGCATGATGTGAATCTAGTTTACTCTTTATATTGTACTTTTGCCTTGTAAATCTCAATAATTGAAACCCTTCTTGAGAGCAGTTGGTTAACTCTGCCCCCTTTCTAGGCTGTGCCTGTGTTACCTCCTCTGATCCCTTACTTTGAACACATAGAACATTAAGAGGACTTAGGAAGCTATCCACTCAGCTCTTGTCAGCCTCTGGTCCTGTATTAGAGTATGTTTTTGTTTAACATGTCTTGTACAAACCTCTTAGAAGGATTTGACCATTACTACTTCAGGGCATGCTTTCAGAAAAAAGCATCACATATTTACAGCCTAGGAATGAAGATGCATCTGGGCTCATGTCTGTTGTCTTAGCTCACGTAGTCTGGCTTTCAATGGTCCAGGACTTCTAGTGACTGCGTTGGAGTTCAGGTGCCTGGTATGATGAATAAGTGGTGTAAGCAAACTGATCTCACAGTAAAGGCTGTTTTCTGTAGAAGATTATACCAATCTTCAGTGCTTTATTAATGCTTTCTGACTCTTCCTGTGATCATCTCCTTAGAAGTATCAAGACCTGGGCTTCTTATTCAGTATTTCAGTTCTTTTGGATTCTCACTGTTTATGCAAGCTTCAGTGTATATTTTTTAAACATCTCACAGTTTTCCATGGTTCCTATAACTAGAGACTATTTGTTTCAGTGAACAAATGCCCAAAAGATATTCAGGAAACTCGGGAAATACATATACTTAACAAACACTGGGCAGAAATTTCAGCCCCCTCATCTTCCGCTAAGATAGGCAAATTTAGGCATTTCTGAATTACTACCTCATACATCAATAAAATTGATGCAAAAATTAACATAATTGATAGCAAGTTTGGCATGAGGGTTGTGAGAAAACATTAATAAATGTGAAAATTAGTACACTTTTCTGGAGGTTAGTTTATCAGTACACAATGAAAGTTATAAATTGATTCTATCATTTAACCTAGGAACACAACTTTTTGAAATTTATCCAAGGAAAGAAGAAGGAAAGAAAATTATATGTCATATAGCTAAAAAACTGAAAACAGTCCAAATCCCCAGGTTTTTAGAAATTTCCAGACTATTGCAATGGAATGGAGTATTACCACCAGAATTATTGTGTCTAAGTATAATGACATTGACCTTTGAGATAATGAGCATGGGCATTTTGGGAACTATGGGAATTAATGAGGGAATGATATAAATGTGATTCTCACTGTTACACCTGAGGCTCACGGTTTTCAGGATTGGAAAACACTAGTATGTCTTTGGTATTGGGAAATACTAGTATTGTTTTTGGTATTAGAGGGAGATCCCCTTGATTAAAATAGAACTGTCTTCCTGCATTTAGAGATCCAGTCATATTCTAGTATTTCCCAATAGTATTTTAATCAATGGGACCTCTCTCTCTTTTTAAAAAAATAATTTTTTGTTTGGTAATGGTGAAACATTGTTTCACTGAGAAAGACCTGCCTAAGAGGGAGTGATTGACGAGGCATCTTCTTTCTGGCTGTCTGGCTGTCTGTCTTTCTAGCAGCTCCACGGTATGAATGTGCTCCAGTGAAACCCTTTTTCTGCAGGATTCGGTAAGTACAGTGGCTCGTAGAAGCCAAAAATAGCGGATTATGCTCTGATTTTATTTTGCACTTATTTTGATTCTTGTATATTCAGTTCACTTCTGTTGCGAGATACAAAAAATAAGATTTGGTTCTTACCACAAGGAGTTTGTATTTTGATTGAGAAGAAACATATTCATGAGAAAACTAGATAATATTGCAATAAGAAAAAGGTCCAGAAAAATAATTCTTAACTCTAGGAGCATATAAGAGTCACTAGATGTGAAGTACAGCTTAAAATCACCATTGTTGTGAGCTTTTTTGTTTGCATTTTGTTTTTCAGTCACATTTAAAATTAGTTTTTGAAATTTTTAGTAGCTTTAAAGAAAGCAAGAGATTTATATTTGTGAGAAAGATTTAAAAGATCTAGAGACAGTGAACCAGAAGGAAATAGATGAAAATGTTAACAGTACTTAATTGCTGATAGGATTTACTACTGAATTTTTTATCTTCTCAATTTGCTGCAATATATTATTAGTGTTCCTTATGTGGTATACATTGTATTATATATATAAGATATATTTTCTGTTATATATATTATGTATATAACATGACTTTCATAATAAGAATATTTTAAGATGATGTTGTGATTGCCCGTTTTAATACTGAAGTTACTAAATGTTCTAGATGTTTAGAGAGAAGAAAAAAGCCCCATGAAATAGTCTGATAATCCAATATTCCATGGAATTTGGGGACTTGAGCTCATAGGATCTGGATGCTTGGGAGGGACAGCCTGAGGAAGGGCCTGGCAGTGGGAGGGCTCTGTTCATTTGCAAGTAAGTTGTATGAAGATATTAGAACAGCTCCTGCCTCTTAGTAAGTACTATATGTGTTTCTGATGTTAATAAATATTTTGGGGTGCTTTCTTTGAGCCAGACACTGCTGGGATCCAAGCAGAGTTCTTGCCTTATATACCTTAAATTCAGTGAGAAGGAGACCAGTAATAAACACATATTCAGATGCCTGTGTGTTGGCTAGTGATAAGTTATGTGTAGACAGTAAAGCAAAGAGCAGGAGTTCTGGGAAGTGGAAGCTTGCTGTTGTATTCAGGGTTATCCGGGAGCTCAGGAAGCCTAATTGGAAACAGCAGCCGGAGTGAGGGCAGGTGGTGAGCCACACCAGTATCTGAGGGTGGCAAGTGTCGCTGAGCAAGTGTGTTCCAGGCATAGGGAGCAGCAGGTGCAGAGGCTTTGGGGTGGGGCATGCCTGGCCTGTGGGAGGAATGACAGAGCTGCTGTGGCTGGAGTGGAGGAAGGAGCGAGGATGGAAGAAGATGGGGAAGCAGGGGCCATGCCACGGGGAGCTGGGACTTCTGCATGAAATGTTTTATTTAAGTTTATCACTTATTTTTAAGACTTTTTACTTTGGGAATTTTCAAACATAACACAAAAGAAGATAGTCTAATGAACCGATATGGTCTCATCACCCAGCTTTTTAATAACTTGAACCCATGGCCACTCTGGCGTCATCTCTGCCAGCAGCAGTTCCTTACCTCCCTCTTCCCAAGTTACTGGGTAGCGCAGCTCAGATCTTATCTGATTTCCTCCATCAGGATTTCAGAATGTCATTCTAAGAGAGAAAGTTCTCATTAATGTTTTTGAGGCTCAAAATGGTCCCTTCTTTGGCCAGTAGGAATCCCTTTGGGTTGGCCCTTGTACCTTTGTGAGAGTGCCCTGTGGTCTTTGACAGCTTCTATTGTTTTAAGCATGAGACGCCCCAGACTCATTTTAGACATTTCTTAACCCAGGCTTGGAGTCAATCATTTCTCTAAGGATCCCTGGTTCCATGTGGGAAATGGCATTCATATTTGGAGGCCAAATCTATGTGGTAGGGATGGTTATTGCTACAGGGTTGTCATTGCTTCTAGGAATTTTCAGTGAACAGAGGTAGGAAACATTCATTTCAGTTTCCCTTTTTTTCTTTTTTAAGACATAGAAGGAAGGTCAAATAATGTGTGAATATGAAACACTACATTAATATTTTGTTTTGGCCAGGCACAGTGGCTCACTCCTGTAATCCCAGCACTTTGGGAGGCCAGGGTAGGCGGATCACCTGAGGTCAGGAGTTCGAGACCAGCCTGGCCGACATGGCGAAACCCTGTCTCTACTAAAAATACAAAAATTAGCTGAGTGTGATGGCGCACACCTTTAATCCCAGCTACTTGGGAGGCTGAGGCAGGAGCATCGGCGAGGCACAGATTGCAGTGAGCTGAGATTGTGCTGTTGCACTCCAGCTTGGGCGACAGAGTAACACTGTTTGTTTTTGTTTTTTTTT